GATCCATGCAGTATTCTCAAGATGGGTCAATCCAGTCACATATTATCGATATAATATGCACCTACGTACAGATTAAGATATCACAATACCTATAGTCTATGAGACGCAACTATCTCATCTCGTACGTACTAGTCTTGATACGTTATGATGTCCGTATTATCATAAAGTGCGACTAGGGATATTCTAGACATAGCCTTCGTCAAGAAGTAACAGTCTCATAATCAGAACATCGTAGTCCTCATCTATGTTACTGAAGCGCTATCGTCTATGGACTGAAGCTATGTTATGTTACACGAGATATAAAACATACTTCAAGGCCTTTCATTCATGATAAAGTGTACAGTTACATAGGTATTTGATTGCCGCTAGGGCACCTAAATACAACATGTAACACATGTTAAGGGTATGGTTGTTGTGGTAGGTTTCCATCTACAGAAAAATGCAAAATAGGTCATCTATCATGTTGGATAATTAATTAGGCCTTTAATTAATTATTTCCCACTATTTTGGACAAATCAATTACCCTCAATATTGATTCGAAGATTCTCTTAGAGAATCTCTTAACGGGCCAAGATCCGAATTTCATTACACGTGCGTTTGGCTAGGGCTCTCTCCACAGACTAACTATTTAGGTAGGAACATGGTTCCAACTGTCGAGCCGCGCTCGCAGTTCTTGGTCTTTTGTTGGGCGAACTATTTTACTACAACCGGACCAGGACACCTTCATTGAACTTGCGTTTGGTTAGGGCTCTCTCCACAAGTCTAACTACTTGGTTAGGAACAAAGTTCCAATTAAATCATAAAGATCCAACTCCTTGGCTAGATGAACGAGTAAAACCATTCGACTTGTCGTGTATTGACCCCAACAGAACCGCCTCTGAGTCATCACCTATTTAACCGAGACTCAGTTAAGTCTAACCCAACGTCAGACAACGACCACATCCAGGGTGGTTCCCGTGACCAGCATAACCTACACCGTGCTACGCTCAACGGAGGCTGAGTACGTGACGGTGCACATTAGCCAGAAAGGTACCGGGCGCTAGAAGGCATACAGACTTAATATTCGAGAGGGATTTAATATTAATTTAAACGTGTAATGATTGTGGCCCCTAAAGGAAAAATAAAACGATAGCTCACACTGACTTCCAAGCAATTGGACTTTGGGCTATCTCCATTCCTTTAGATTTCCTCGAACGGACTTCTAATCCTTTTATCTTCTAACCACCACGTGAGAAAAGAATCCTCGGTTGAGGTAAGAGAGAGAAATAGATTTACAACAAGAGTTTAAGAGATAAGGCACGACACGCAGGCCGTATTATAATCAAATAAAATATAGCCACAATCATTCACCATACATATCATACATCCACACAGGCAATAGAGATATACATACACCAGGCGAACCGCGCTCGCCTCAGACAATTCTAGAAAAATACTATGTAATATTTTCTAAAATTCATAAAAATTCATAAAGTGGTCCAAAATTTATGAAATTTTACCAAGTCATCCCAAATATATTAAGACACTTTCGAGCAGGGGCAAAACTGGAAAAAAAATTTCCAGGAAACACAGAATTACGAAAATGCCCCTAGAGCAATGTTTATTCCAAAATTCATTTTAAATTTGAAATAAATTTGCCAAAATCATGAAAATTAATTTCCAACTTACATTAACTATTTTATACATTTATAAATTGGAAAAATAAATTTTCAGAATTTACAAATATATTAATTATATCTCAATAGTTGAAAAAATAATTTTAAATCATTTTCTAAAAATCATTAAATTATAAAATTTAATATATCAACTTAATTTTTAATGAGATATAATTTTAAAAAATGATATTATCCATTTACAATTTATATATATATATATATATATGATTAATTACTAATTAATATTATTTTGTCCAATATATTTGCGAACAACTTCATTTCACCTAGAAATAATGTTTCCAAGTTTTATAAAGTTCATTTTTGAGTTTCCAATATTTATTTAAGATTTATTGGAATTAAATCTAAACAAATACAATTAACTCAAAACTTGGAAATAAGCAATTTCGAAAATTACAATATACTTTTACTAACCATAAAACGAAACTTTATGTTCAATAAAATTATATTAACAATTTCAATATATATATATATATATATATATATATATATATATATATATATATATATATATATATATATTAATATATATTCAAAATTTCCAAATATATGTAAAAAATACATATTTTTTGCACAAATTGTTGGACATGAGTTCAAACCCCTTTATTATTTCTTCTGGAATATTTTTTTGTTTTGATGAATGACAAACAGGATGATTAATCTCAAGCTGATCGAAAATTTATTTTCGTATCGAGAAAAGCAAAGAAGGGTATCAAGAAGTTTACGGCGATAAAAATTGACGATCACCCCTACGCAGATTTTTTAAGTGAAGTGAAGACTCCGAAGACTTTTTTATTTTTTAATTAAGTCTAGGAATCTTTGTAAGGATGACAATTTTGTTGCACAAACAAATTATTTTTGAGGGATAAAAATTATTACTTTTTTGAGTCAGTTGAAAAATTACTTTTCCTCTGTCTAAAATATTTTACTGAGTCAGTTTCAAAATAAGTGTGTCAAAATTTCTTTAAAACATTTTTTTTTGAATACACAATTTTTTTGGTAAGAAAAATATACGTTAAATATTTTTCGTGTACATTGTTTGACACACAAAATAATTTTTGGACTCTTTTTCTCCCCTATTCAAATTCATTGAATAAGGGTTATCAATGATCGTGCATTGATTCCCGTTGTCTCAAACAATCGTATGAAGCCAAAGGCTTCAATCGCAAATAGGCTTGGGCCATTTATGTTTGCACGGTATTTTGAATTTAATCGATTTTCTCTTCCTTTTTAATCGATTAATAGACTTCTAGTTGGATTCCCAGGATCGCCCAATAATCGATTAATTTTCTTCATTTAATCGATTTGTTAGCACAGATTCACCTAATCGATTATTTTCTTCAGTTTAATCGATTAATTCCTTACCAAATTTCAGGCATTTTCGCCTATGTGTACCTTAATCGATTAATAGTTTCACTTTAATCGATTATTTGTATGTGGTGCATGTTCTGGCTTGCTCCAACGGCTTTATTTTTCCTCAGCCTATTTAATCCCTCATTCTCCTTCATTTCTACACACCTCTTGCACTCCAATATATTCTTTAAGCGATATTCATCCTTTGCTTCATCTTCCTCATCAAAATATTATTTTTTGAGAGTTAGAAATATTTTCTTTGAGTGCTAAAGAAGTTGTCATCCATAGAGCTTTAATTCTTCAACACTACTTTGCTCAATTGTGTGAGCTTTCATTCTTGTGTTGTAAACTCAATCTCTTTTGAGTGTTGTTCTTAAGACTTGTGTGACTCAAGTCTTGTTGTTGTAAGAAAGTGAGGCTTGTGTGATTCAAGTTCTCAAGTTGTACCGGTTTTTCAAGCACCCGTTGAAGCTTGAAGATTAGTAGGACTTTCGAGAGAGTCTCTCGGAGGACTGGACTAGCCACGAGGTGGTGAACCAGTATAAATCTCGGTGTTCTTCTTTCCCTTACTCTCTTTATTTATTCCTGCGATTTTATTATTTCACACACGCGAAAAACGCACATTCTTGAAAACAACTCTATTCACCCCCTCTCTAGAGTTGCACATTTGTCTAACACAAATAAATAATGAATATTTATTTCAATTATTTATTTAAGTCCAATATGTATTTCAAGACTAAAGTAAATCATTATACTAATTTTAGAAATTAAAAAATAATTACCAAGTTAAAAATAATAATTTCCAACCGAAAAAATTCAACGAAAAACTATAGTTTTGTACGTTGGCTCTGATACCACTGTAAGGTAACCACGGTTAATTGGGAGGGCAGCGGAAATACAAAATTTTAAACTCCCAATATAGTGATTACTAGCCCAAGAACAAGTACTAAAACTATAGCTAGAGATAGAAACTTATACCTTCTCCGGTTAGCGGTAATGACGTTGGAAAGGCGTTGAATGAGCAAACGTAGCCGTTCAAGCGTCCGGCCTCCAACTTTGACACACGAACAATCTCCGGAGTCTACTATAATCTTTATGCTAGTAAAGATTATAATAGTATATTAAATATAAAGATTTAAGAGGGATAATATTAATCTTGTATATTAAATGGTAGAAAATATATCAATAATTTTTTAAAAAAAATATTATAACAATTTTCTACACCCAAAATAATAATTTTGGGAACTCAAAAATCTTTCTCCTCCCTCACTATTCTTGGCCATGCCTACTAGGTGTGTTGGGGAAGTAAAATGCTTTGATTTTCTTAAAGTGATAAAAAACATTTACAATGACAAAAGGCCAAGGATGGTTTTGTCAAATGCTCCTCCTCCACTCAATTCAAAGTGGGAGACAAGTTTCATTAAGTGGAAGGTACGAAATGGTGAGGGGGGAGGAATTTAATTCTTCTCCTCTCAAATGTTCAAAGTGTATTTTATTTTACATCAATCATTATATGATATATAAAATAAAATACCCAAAACATTTTAAAACAAGTATATAAAATATAGTTTAAAATAGTTTTTGTCAAAATAATTATTTTCATAATTAAAATGACATTCCAAAATAAAATGTACACAATATAATATATAATGTAATATATACTACCTTGTAATAGAGTCAATAGCATTCATATATATATATATATATATATATATATATATATATATATATATATATATATATATATATATATATATATATATATATATATATATATATATATATATATATATATATATATATATATATATATATATATATATATATATATATATATATATATATATATATATAGGGATTCACTCCGGTGAGATGACACCTTGTGGTGAGATGATATGTTTCAGTCAGATGACGCTGGAGCTCACCACTGATCACTGCAAAGCTCACCACCGTCCACTCCAAAGCTCACCATGATTTTCCAACACTTTACTTTTTTTTCAAAATATGATGGTTAAATGCTTACAAAGCCCAGCAACAAAGCTCACTGACTCTCATTGCAAAGCACACTCACTCTCATTGTAAAGCTTACCGAATATGTGCACAAAGCTCACCACACTTTAAAGTTTAAAATGATTTAAAAAAACAAAGGGCAGTGGTGCTGACTTCCAACCGCTGTAGACTACCGCCGTGGACCGGTAGTTGACTAGTGGTGCAATTTTATTAGCTTTTTTTTTATAAAAAAAAGTGATGAGCTTTGCATTGTTCCTTGGTGAGCTTTCCATTGTCAGTTGGTGAGTTTTGCATTGATAGTTGGTGAACTTTACACTTTGACCGCCCATGACCAATAGCCACCACCGATGACCCCCACTGTCACCGTGGACCGGTGGTTGAGCGGTGGTTGACTGGTGGTTGAATGGTAGTGCTATTTTTTTAACTTTCTTTTATTTAAAAAAAGTGGTGAGCTTTGCATTGGCAGTGGGCAAGCTTTGCATTGGCAGTTGGTGAACTTTGCATTGGCAGTTGGTGAGCTTTCCATTGCCAGTGTTGTGTATTGTGTCATCTCACTGAAACATGTCATCTTACCATAAGGTGTCATCTCACTAGAGTCAATCCCATATATCTATAACTCCCTATTTATATAAACGCCTATTGCGTTAACTATAGGCTTTTTCCCGTTTATTTTCTAACGCGGCTTATCTACAGTTTACCCCACTTCTCAAAAATTTTGATTTCCTTTGAGTTGCTGCCCTGCGTACCTTCTGCTTCTTTGAAAAATTTTCTAATTTGGTTATTTGAAATTGAGTTGCATGCTATTTTTTGAACTTATGACCTAGAATTAGAATGTACTATAGTATGTCTGAGTGGTGTCTATTTTGATGAAAAATTAATTTCCGAGTAATTTAAAACCACTGACCCAACAACAATTCCAAGTTTGATATGATACCTTTGGCCACGTACTAATACGCAAAGCACATTTCATGCTAAAGAGGCTATATATTACGTTAACTCGCTGTAGAAGATTATTCGAGACCATTTGGATCATGGCAGGTTTGATCTCGAATGTGTGGGCGTCAGTGTTCGGGAGTCCGATGGGGTCTTCTTCAACATAGGCGGGGCTCATGGCTTGGAGCACAGTCCGCCTACGTCCGTTATTTTCCTCCATTATGGGCTGATCAACCTCTATCTCTTCTTCTTCCTCAAAATCCCCACCGGCTGTTTCCAAGAGACCCCCGGCTCCACCTGCACAAAAATATGGAAGGGAACACAGTATAACACAGATAAAGCACCAAGTACAAGCAACAAGTACAAGCAATAGTAGAAGATTCCAAACGAATACAACACACTACAAAACAACCTCTACAACACCAAGCTCCTATCCAGCTACTCTAATTCTAGTTTTCCAAAGGTTCCTATCTAGGGTCATATCCTCAGTCAGGTCGAAAAGTCCTAAATCCTGCCTAATCACCTCCTTCCAATTCTTCCTAGGTCTACCTCTTCCCCTACTTCCCCCGATAACTGTAATCC